GCCGCCAGAGGCGGCTCCGCCCACTGCCCCACCCACACCCCGCCCATATAGGGCGTGGTGGCCCCCAGGCTTTTGCTGGTGCCAGCCCCAAACCCTTCACTCCGCTGCCTTCTTGCCCCAGCGATGGCCGAGGAGCTCAGCGACCTGCTGCGGGAGTTTGACGAGGTGATGGAGGACTTCGAGAGAGGCCCCGCGTGTCGATACGAGCAGCACCTGGAGGAGCTGAAGAGGAAAGCGGGACACAGCGTGTACGACAGCGGCATCGATGAGCTGGAGAGTGAGTCCCGGGGCTGGGGAATGAGGATTTCTGGGGGAGGATGGTGTCTGTCGGGATGGAGTTGCTTTGGGAGCTGTGGGGTCCCCCCGTGGCAAACCTGCTGATCCCGCCTGACTCACCTCTCGAGGGCTGGGTGAGTAGCACGGGGTGGTGACCACTGGACCCTGGCCCAGGGCCTGCCAACATCTGCTGGGGCTCCTTCTGCTGGGTTGGCTGCTGCGGGACTGCACTAGGCTTCAGATAACTGGGAGCTCAGAGGGAACCAGTTTGCTGTAATAACCCTGAGGACTCACCGTGGCCATACTCAGGCAAACTCTGGTGCCATTTGGCTTGGCAGAGAAGCTCAGTTCCCTTTTTCTAAGCATTCCTTGCAGCAGGGGAAGAGCAGATGGGCTGTCCGAGAGCCAGGGTGGACCAGGGACCCTATGCTACGCATGAGATTGGTCCCGCAACTTGTTTATAAGGTGCCTGTGGCCGTGGACAGTGCCTGATGCTTTGCATCTGCAGGTACCAGTGCGTCCCCAGGAAGCAGTCTCAACACCAGCGAGGAGGACATCAACACCCCTGCCAACGCCTACCCCTCCAAAGGTGAGGCTGAGATCTGCCCGGAGGGCTGATGCCAGGGCTTCCTTCTGCGTGCCCGGCTTGGCTCAGCAGCGCCTGGCCTTCAGCTGCCCTGGGGGGGTGCCAATGGGGCTCTGCAGGATTTGGAGGTGGGAATGAGCCCTGGGGTCCTGGCTGGATCCTGGAAGAGGGATGAAGTTGGACTGGCGTGTTCCAGTCAAGGCCAGACCGAGCCCGAGGTCTGTTTGGGAGGGGCACAGGGAGGGTTCTGTTCCTGACCTGGGAAGCGCAGGATGGTGCAGGGCCGAGATGGCGCCGGGAAGGTGAGCGCCATTCCCACCGCACATGGAGCCGGTCCCGCTCAGGCCTCAGCTGAACCCTCGCTGACCGACCTCGTGTGCGTGGGAGGACGTGCCCTGCCTCGCTGCTGTCCCCACGGGGAGCCCGCAGTGCCGCTGGCTGGGTTACGGGGCGCTGACCCGCGCGGTACCCGCGGGCACCATCCCAGCCCCTGAGGCGAGGGGCAGAGGGGCGCGGGGGGTGGGAATGCTGTGTGTCTGCAGGTCCGAGTTACTCCTGGGGTTTTCCTTCCTCAAGCAGCGTCCTCGGTGAAACCCCTTGCTCCTCAGCCCTGTAACTGCCAGCCGGGGGTGTGCGCACACGGGGGGGCACCCTGCCCTGGAGCACCCTGCCCTGGGGAGGGGGGATGCTAGGGCTGCCCTTGAGCGCCGGACTGCAGAGCCAGGTGGTGCTGGGCACCCGCTTGGGAAGGTTTAATGCTGCTGTTTCGGTGCCTTCCGCATCTGGGTGCAGGCATGGGCCACAGAGATGCGTCGACCCCGGGGACGCTGTGCCCGGGGGCATTTGGCTGGGGTTACTCCTGAGCTGTGCAGGGATCGGCCCCGCTGCACACGCAGCCCCCCGTAGCCCCCTCCCGCCGCTGCCAGGCGGCCCCTGGCTGGCACCGAAGCAGCAGGCAGCCCCAGCAGTTGTGGTTAGAAGCAAGGGGTAGGGAACTTTCTCCTCCCACATTAGGGCTGGGGGGGAGGAATGGGAGAGGCTGATGGTGTGTTTCTCTCTGCTAGCTAAGCTTGGAGACACGCAGGAGCTGGAGGAGTTCATTGCGGATCTGGATAAAGCGTTGGAGGGTACGTACACAGCTCCGATCTCTGTGCTTTCCGAGCCCCAGGCTGCAGCCAGCGTGCCAGGATGCCTGGGCTGGGGCTTCTCCGCTGCCTCTGGCTCAGCAGAGCCTGGCTGAGTAGAGTCTGGCCCAGCTACCCTCCCAGCTGGGGCTCCCGCTGCAGGGGGCTTAGAGCCTGGTTTTGGCTGCAGGGGTGGAATCCTTCTGTCTTTTCTTCTGCAGAGGGGGCTCATCTGGATGTCCCCCCCTTTCCCATTCCAGCTTTTTCAACTGGGGCAGAAATTCCACTGGGCGAGTGTCTTCCCTCGCTGGTGCCTCAGTTTCCCCCACCTGGTGAAGCAGAGGTGGCGGTGCTGTCTGGTGGAGGGGACTGGGGGTGTGAAGGCCAGATTGGTCCTGACTAAAAGGCCTGCAAAAAAGGTGGCCAAACAGCGCAACCTGCAGAGCTATCTACCTTTTCAGGAAGATGTACGGATGCTTGTGGCTCTCTGCCTACAGCACCCCTCCGACTCCTGCTCAAAGGCTTTTCTCTGCCCGGGGCGGGGGCGGGAAGGTGAGCAGGAAGAAAAGAGTGTTTTTCCTTGTGGTATGCCCCAGCCTGGAAAAAAATCAGCCCTGTGGAAGCGTCGCATCTGGAGGGAGGAAAGCGAGGGTTCAGGCTCGCTGAGTGCCTGTGGCAGTGCCCCTCGGGGCGTGCTGGCACTGAGCGAAGCCGTGGGAGCCGCTCCAGAGGGCCTGTGCGGTGGCAGAGGGGAATCCCAGCCCTCGGGGAGCACAGAGGGGCCGTGGTCTCCTGCAAAAGTTTTTCTCCTGGCTTGGCTGCAGGTACCCCTGGGGAAGGCGGTGATGCTGTGCTGGGCAGCTCTGCAGTCCTGTGAGGTTGGCTGGTCCCCAGTAGCTCCCTTGCTGGGGAAACTGAGGCAGAGGCCACACTTCCTCTTCAAATCGGTCCCTGCATGACAGGCTGGAGGCAGAGAGAACTTGATTTAAAAAAAAAATAATAAAATATTTCCCCTTAGGCAGGCTGCATAAGACACAGTTCTCAGTATCTGTTCCCTTCCCTTTTCAGTGGTCGAAATGAGGTGGCCGGTGGGAAGCGCTGCTTCAGCTGGCTGAGCCATACTGGGAGGCAGCGAAGCAGGAGGGGGACCAGGGCCCCCCAGCAGATTTCTGCTCTAACCCTGCTGCTGGTGATGCCCGGGGGGGCCCAGTGCACCCTGCAGCCCTCCTGCAGCCCTCCTTCCCCCAGCAGTCATCTCACCAATCTTTTCTTTTCCCCCTTGATTGTCCTGCAGAGATGTGAGACGTGGTTTTGGCGGCGAGCTTGGAGAGGAGGACCCACAGCCGATGAGCCCCGTGCCTCCCTGATGCACCCCCTGCTTCTGCGCCCCTGCTACCCCCTGCCTGTGCGGGCCACGGCTCTCCCGTGCCGGGCAAGGGCAGCACCAGCTGCAAGTGGGGACTGATCCAGCCACGGGACGGGCAGCTGGGCTGCTGTGGTGGCTGGGCCTCGCTCTGCTCCCGTGCGCAGGACGGGACTCTGCCGGCATGAGATGGGATGAGCTCTGGCTGGGGCGCGGGCTTTGCCCGGCGAGGGGGGCTGGCAGCCCTTGTGACTGAGTGGGTTTGGGGGTGGGGGTCTATGCCACTGTTGAAGCCAGAGGAGAAACCCTGGGTGATTTTAGGGAAGATCAGCTTGTGATACATCAGTGAGACCTTGGTGTCCCCTCCTGGGGCAGGAAAGCCTGTTCCCACCGCAGCATCTGCCGCAGGCAGTGACAACCACTGCCAGCCCTCCGCTTTGCACGGGTAGCCTCAAAGGCAGCCCCTGCCTGCACCCCAAGTGCCTCTGCCCTGACTGCTGCTGTAAATACTGTAAAAAGGATGTTACGGACTGTACAGATGAGATGTATTTTTATGAAGGGGATTTTAAGTCTCTCTGCTTGTCTGTGTGTGTGTCCAGCCTTTTCCCATGGGCTCCTCTCTTCTCTGCAGCTGCCTGCAGGGGTGGGAGCAGGCATGCCTGTGCTGCGCCCGAGCCCTGGGGGCTGCCAGCCCGTGGGGCATCGGAGAGGTGGGGGAGAGGCCTCAGGGAAGCAAATTAAGCAGCATTTGTCTGCCTGCAGGAGGGTGGGTGATCGGGGGACCCCCTGGTCCTCCCTGCCTACGCCTGGCTGAGGTGGGGCCGGCTGGGCTGCCCTCCGCGTGCTCTGAGCCCGGTCCGTGGCAGCCTGGGAGCTTGGGTCTCCCTGGAGCAACCCCAGGAGCTGGCAGGGAGCCTGGCTGCTCCGGCGGGGCTGGATCCAGCCCTCCTGGTGGCCCTGGCCCCGCTGGGGAGCGGGGAGAGGCCGGCTGGAGCTGCGCAGCCGGGGGGCTCATCGGGAGCTGCAGGGCAGGTAAATGGCCAGGGCAGCTGCTCCGACATCCCATCGTGTGGGCTCTGGCTTCTGGACAGCGTGGGGAAGCCACCCAAGGTGGGGTGGGAGAGGAGGGCAGAGTCCATCCCTTTCCACCTCCATCTGCTGGGGAAGATGAGCCACTGCCCGCTCCTCTTGCCCCCGGGGTGCTGCGGGACCTGCCCCGCTCCTGCTGATACTCTCTTTTGAAAAGCCCCCTGCTTTACCCTAAAGATACGTTACAGGGAATATGTCCTGCTTGGCCTAAAGAAACAAGAGGCGAAGAAGGTCCCTTGACGCCGAGCGCGGTTTGCAGCTGTGGGTTTGTTCTCAATGTGCTCGGAAAGGCTGGAGTGGGTGTCCGGGGGTGACGCTGCTCCAGGGGTGACGCTGCTCCGGGGGTCCCGCTTCCCAGCGGCCGTGCCCTGGTGACGCTTCCTCTGGTTTATTGCCACTCACAGTAACCCCGGGAGCCGGTCCCTGGGGGATGTGCGTTTGCAGCCTTGGGTGAGACCCCCTGCCTTGCTGGGTCGCTGCCTTCCCTGCCGGGTGAGGGGCTCGGCAGGGCAGGCAGAAGGTGCGGTCGATGCGGGAGCAGCTCAGGCGTGAGATCGACCTGGGGGCAGCTGAGCTTGGAGCAAGATTTGGCAGTTGTAAGGGATGCTCGGTCCCCCCTGGGTTTCCCTTGCCCAGAAGCTGCCCCAAGAGCCGTGGGATGACCAGGAGGAGCCCAGGGGAGAGGAGGAACGTGGGGGCCAGCTCGTCTCTGGGCTGGCAGCGCTGCCTGCCTTCCCTGTGATGTCCGCGTGGAGCGGGGCCACGTACGGCTCTGTCGCAACTGTCTCGCCTGAGCAGGAAACGAGACGGTTTTAGCTTCTTCCATCGCCCCTTGGTTCACAGGGTGCTGATCAGGAGGATATTGGTCATCTAATCCGCCAGCCTGGGGCTTAGTGCTGTCCCAGAAGTCTGCTGAACACGCATTAATCCTGCAAACTCAAGCGCTCGGGAGGGAGGGCAGGAGCGTGGCAGGGCCCCGTGCAGGGCAGGTCACGCGTGGGGACGCTTTCTGCCGTCGCTCTCCCCACACTGTGTGACGCGGCCACTGATCGGCCTCCCAAACGGACCCCCCGGCCCCGCCGAGGGGCAGCCAGACGATGGGGAGGAGCGCAGTGCGGCGGGGCCGGGGGCGGAGGTGACGCTCGGAGATGTGCCCGTGATGCTCGGCTGCGCCACGGGGACTGGAGCACCCCGCTCTGCGGGGAGACTCAGCCCACATCAACGGGGCCAGGGCAGCAGGAGCTGCGGGGACTGTCCCTGCCACGCACGCTGGTGATGGAAGCGACCCCGATGTCACTCAGGACATTTTTTCCCCTCTGAGTCATTGCACGCAGGCGTTTCGCCCTTGCAATCTAGCTCTGACTCTAGTTATGTTATTCCACCCACGGTCTGTTTCTGCCTCTGGGCATCACAAGCGCTCTACCAGCTTGTGTGGGAAGGGGATTTTGAACAGATCACCCCCGGCCCGCCCGACAGCGTGGTCTCTGGCTGGGTCGTGGCAATGCTCGGTGCTGGCCTGGGGAATCCCACGCCGTTGCCTTCCCTGGGTGCTGCTCGCTTGAGCACCGCGTCTGCAAACGTTGCTAAGCAGCTGCAGATATAAATACTTTCAAGCCCCAAATCTGCTGCGGCTGATATACTCCTGTGACAAAATAACAGACTCGGTGAGGCTCCAGAGGGGTTGTTTGTTGTGGGGGTTGCCAGGAGAGGGGTTTGGGTTTCACTCCGCGTTTCCTCCAGCCCCTCGAATCGGGCAGGCTACGTGGGTGCTGCCTGCACCGCGAGGCTGAGCTGTCCCACGTTGCGCGGGATCCTCTCCAGGCTCGTGGTACCTCCTGCACCCGATGATATAGCTGTCAGCATCTGCTTGGGTTGGTGCTGGGAGGATGGTGGGGCTGGCACCAGGCACCCCAGTGCCAGTGCTACACGTGGGTGACAGGGTGACATGGGACCTAATGCCAGTGCCGTCCTGCCCAGCCTGCACTGACAACAGCAGCCATGGTGACGCTCAGCCTAACTCCCCAGGACGGACTTGTGCACATTGCTGCAAGGAGACCCCTGCGGGCACAGGGGCTCCAGCAGCTCCTCTGCTGGGATTTTTTTCCTGGGAACCCTGGGCAGGAGTTGGGGACACGCCTGGGTGGCAGGGTGGCACTGAGACGGGGCTACGGCATCCACCAGCCCATGGCAGTCGTCCAAGGGCTGTTGTGCAGCCCGGGGGGACCGCTGCCTCCCGGCCATGCTCACAAGGCAGCTGAAAACCCACAGGCAAGGGAGGGCTGAGGCTGACCGAGGCGGCTGGCGGGGAGGGTGGGATGGCCCCTGTGTGCATGTGCGGCGGAGGTGCTGCAAAAATAATCAGCGCGACCAAGCACGTCCTGCGGCACGTCCGTTCCTCCCCTGGGCCCCTCTTCCCACAGCAGCTCGGAGGAGGCTGGACCAGGGCCAAGGAGCCCTGGGAGCAGCAGGGTCGGGCCGGACTGTGTGTAGGGCTCTGCAAAGAGTCTTGAGAGTGCTTTGGACCTGCCAGGGTGGGAACCCACCCGCCAGAGGCACCAGGAGCTGAGGGTGCTGGAGGAGCCGGGGACGGTCAGCCCCTGAGCAGCACTGCCCAGGGGATGCTGGAGCCCCCAGCATCAGCTGGGAGCAGCTGGTCCGGGCTGGTCGGGGCGCAGGCAGCAGAGGGCAGGGAAAGCAGGCTGCAGCCCCCCGTCCCGCCACGGTCAGTGGAGAAGAAACGCAGCCCTAGCCGGGCTGGAGCCAGCATGCGGTGCCTGCACGGGGCCGCCTGCGAGGCTGGCACCGCTTCCAGCGGTGCTTTCACCGCCCTGCGGTCTGCTGCCTGCTAACCGCTTGCTTGTTTTCTTAGAAGCGAGAGCAGCATACGCGGGGCTGCAGAGGGACGGGAAGTGGCTAACCGGAGTCGAGGCAACGGCACGGGCCTCCTGCCTGCACTTTTTCCTTCAAGCCCAGCTGCAAACCCAGCCTTTCTGGAGCCCGCGGGGGCTAGTTACTCGCGGAGCAGGCTCTGCTCCAGCAGTGGGTCCCAAACACTCTTTTGACAGGGTCTTCAGGAAGCCCCCTCCTCCAGGCTGGGGGCATTCAGCTCCAGCTGCGATGCCAGCTTGCAGAGGAGCAGATCTCCTGGCGTCCTGGGGACCTGAACGGCCAGGCTGGGGCATGGAGGTGAGAGCTTTAGCAGAGGTGGCCTGTAGCCACACAGGGGCTGGCAACTGGCCACCTCCCTCCCTTGCCGTACGGAGGGCAGCCAGAAACCTCCCTGGTGGCCACTGCCGGAGGGGG